TTGTTGTTGTTGTTGTTGTTGTCGTCGTCGTCGTCGTCGTCGTCATCGTCGTCGTCATCATCATCGTCATCGTCATCATCATCATCATCGTCGTCGTCGTCGTCGTCGTCATCATCATTTAATAAACATCAAATTTGTAAACATATGGAAACACAACGACTTGATAATATTTATAGCAACAACGGCAATACCCACTGTTACTACTACCCAGCATAGTAACAATTACTATCAATGCCGCACTACTACTGCTACTACTATTACAAAAAACTAAAACTACTTATTTATAATTTCAATTCACTTTAAACGTTAGGAATTACATTAGATATAAACAAAAACAATACAAGAATACAAGCAAGTAAAAAAAAATTGAAAATGCGTGTACTTGTACTCAGTATATTAACCTCAAATGTTATTTATCATACCACAAATTTTCACTCCTACACTTACACTCTTACACGTTATTTAACTTCTCGCTTTATGTTATTACTTTTCACTCCATTCATATTTCCATCTACTCTACTTACTACTATCAATTATCATTGTTTCAGTATAGAATTCACAAAAAAAAAAAAAAAAAAAATTTGAAAAAATTTTCAATTGTATTAATAATTAATTATAATATTACTGTGGATGGTATTATTATTGGAGATTAACTTTCAAATATTCTCAACTATTTATTATTTATAAAGGCAGAAAGAAAATTTATGAAAATTTCATCAACTTACGTAATTTTGATTAGTTCTAAGGACAAACAAATTAAGGAAAGGCGAAAAAGAAGAAAAAGAAGAGAGAAGAAATACCGAAATAATTGTTGAGTAAAATGCAGACAAAATTAAGACAAAATCTAGATTTAATGCGAGCAAAGAAATTTCGTTTGTTCGTTTGTTCGTTCGTTCGTTCGTTTAAGAGAAAACAAACTTTAATTATTACCTGTCGAAAGCAAAAACAGTGCAGAAATTATGTGCATTTGGCAACTAACTGACCAAATTCTTTTGCATTTAGGCTTTCAGTAAAAATCCCATCATCAATACATAACTTATTATTATTATTATTATTATATGGACGGCTTGGCACTTTTTTTTCTTTTTTCAATTCGATGTTTACATACATATATATAATTTTTTGTGTTTTGTTTAATAACAAAAAAAAATAAGTTTAAGCTACATTTGCATGTGGCAGCTAATTAATAAAATCTTGCAACTTCATTGGCTCCTATATATTAGGATTTATCAAACGAATGTATTCATACTGGACTATCTACTTTTTATAAAGAGGGCGAGCGAGAGACAGAGAGAGAGAGAAAGAGAGAGTTTGTACATATAGCTGAATATATATATATATATATACATAAATATATATATATATGTATATATACATAAATCTATATATATATGTGTAAACATATTACATCTAATATGTAAACATATATATATACATATATATATATATATATGTTTACATCTAAACTTGTTATACATACATAATAATTGCCAGTTTTAGTCCATAAAAGCATGTAAACGGTTGACATTTGTTTTTTCACTCCGTTTTTCAAATAAATTGCAATAACTCAAGGGATGTCACCACGATGTTCCAAATTATTATTAATATTATTTTTTATTTTTTAATTTTTTTTTTTCATATTTTTTTTTTTTTTTATTATTGTAATGACCAACGTGTTTCTATAATATATTTTTACTTGTATAGGCTGCATCATAATATAGTTTATTTTATTACGAATGCACACAAATGATTATATTTTTTGCTAATATTTTATTTTTCTATATTAAAAATCTGCGTCTAATACTTTGGTAATAAGTAAATAAAATAAAAAGAACGTCAATAAACTTAATAAAAGTAAATTTTAAATTCAAGTGTTTTTTATAAGATACGCAAACAAAATCGGATCGATTTCTATTTGTACTTTGATGAAAGTACGCATATTATTGATTGTCGTTAAGCCTAAGCGATTTTTATTTAAGGAAAACTTTCAATTGTTATTATTTAGATAAGTCGCATTGAGAAGTATTTCCAATCTATTTTTTTTTTTTTTTTTTTTTTTCTTTACAATTCAATTGTCGACATACTTTAAGCTATCACATTTTTTAAATGTAGTCATCTGGAAGAATTGGAAGAGCAATTTACACTCCAATATCAGTTTTTCACGATTCCTGTTAATGACGGTTATGTAACCGAACCAACTCTACCCTGTATTGGTAGAAGAGAAAAGTTGCTAGCGTTTAATTTAGACGTTTGTTACGTTAATACCTACTAACGATCAAATAAAATTCTCGACTTTTTCAAGGTTGTTACAGCTCTCAAATTATTCCAGGAATGTTAAGGGTCGGACAAGAACTGAATATTTATGAAATGCAATCCCTTCTATATTATATAATTTGAAGAATTTGTCTTAACGCGGAAAGAAACGGGTATGACATACGTTTACGAAAAAAAAACAAAAAAAAAAAAATACACTGTGTGAGATCTATCTAAGTTAAGGGTTACGTTAGCCGAGCTTATACATATACATTCAATTTTGCTAGTTAGAAACATAACTATGGCCGGCTGGAAAAATAAAATTGAACCAATTTCATGTAAAAATGCCTAATTGCCTCTTTCGAAAGCGGATACCGCCGAAGAAAATCGCATTGATCTTTAACTTTTATATTTGTCAGGATAGGCGCAATCAATTTATAAATTTAATGGCGATTTTTTTCCTTCCAGAGGAATTTTAAATTCTCTTTGACTTGTAGTTTAGAATTTTTTAGATGTTATGTAATCATAAGAAGGCAAGCTGCCACGTATTCATTCAAGCAATATACGTACGGAATACAAGTATAACAAAGAGTGCTAAGGAGCCGAACTTTTAATTAGCGAATTTAATGTAATTGAAAAAACGTTATTTTTCCTAGTGTTGGCCTAGTTTTCGAAATAGATTCGCGTGTAAAAAGGCGTTCAAAAAAAGTCTTTTGCAAGAGAGTCTATAGCAAGAGTGATTTCTGTCGGGAAAGGGTGAGAATATTTCGCGAAGAATTTTATTATTAAAGCCTATATTACTTGTGGTATAGATTTTATGTTAAAAATTGTACGGCCGTCAGATGCTTCTTACTCTTAAGAACCTTAGTAAATAGATATCTAGGTTTGGATTTATACTTTATATTTTATCTTAAGGGTCATATATTTATTTTGAAGCCGAGTGAATCTCGACGTTGTTGAACTTGAGTGCAACTGTAACGTTAGCCATTTATTCGCAGTTTTTGTAATTTTTTCAATAACCGAACCTTTAAACTTTTCAAAATTATCATAACGGCATAAACTTACATAATATTGTAAGTGTGAGGAATAAAGGATAGATTATATATACAGATCGTTTGCATTGATTTCAATTCGTCTCGAGCAGTCTCGATACAGTCTCATCAGTTTCTAATGTCTTTCGCATTTAGATTTGAACTTGCTTGGGTTTAAAAAACGAATGAAACAATCGGGCAATCGAAAATGAAAGCGAAATTCGATGAAAAATTTGCTTAATGAGAAAATTTTGTATTTTTCTTATTAGGTTTCCGGTATATATATATGTCTTTCTTAGTTTTTCTAAACGATATAATAAAACTAATTACAGTTATATGTAGATAGGGTTAGGTCGAATCATAAGTAACTTTCGATTTTCTTATCAGGCATTTATGTTGCTTTCATTGAGTAACAATAATATGTTAATTTATTTTGTTGATTGCGAGGAATGCAAACTTTTTGCTATACTTCTTCTTGATTGGCATGAATTTTGCTCTAATTATTGCTTCTAAAAAAATTGTTATCAAAGTCGGAAGGACGTCTCGTTCTCGATTCGCCTTTTAAAGTCGTATTTCCAGAAAGGGAATTTTACAAACGAATTTCTAACCGCCCGATCAGTTATCACTTTTTTTCCCGTATACGCTGCATATTTTTTCAGTTGTCGCCTTAGCGCTATTGTTTTATTTGTTTAAATTCCCAAAGCGTTACATGTCGAATATGCACTTTTAAAACTCCCCATTTCAAAGGTTACAGAGGGAGACAGTTGAATGTAACCATTGCATGGATCACATAAAACAGTTGAGAGAAGACTAACTAAGTCCTCGTCTATATAGTAGTGAAAACAAAAATTCGTTTGTTTCGTTGACTTATAGTGGGTAAATGCGAACAATAGATTCTATCTAGCTGCATCGACCTTATGTATTCCTACTATTCGATGAAGTTAGGATAAATATACGAGACTTCTCTTTCAATTTTTAATATATAATTACGGTATTATTGAGCAGCGTTGGATTATTGATCAACTTCGTTTTGTTGGCAGATATGTAAATTCTTAGTTGGCGACCGTTGCATAGCATATACAATAACCAAAAAAAAAAAAATAAATTTAAAAAAAAAAAGAACAATTGCAGATTTCAATTTAAAACTATATCCGTTTGAGGTAAATAAACTAAAATTTCTTTTTCTTAATTAATGTTTAGTTGCTCTCTTAATTGAATTACTTCATGTCTAAAAATAGCGTGATATATATATAATTGCCCAATTGTATATATTTTCACAAAAAACACAGCCGAGACTGTTTTAAGCGACAAAAAATTAGCTTTAAAACAAAAGTCGAAAGATATGGAAATTCTTTTATGAGAAATGAAGATGTTTTTGTGCAATTTTAATGCAAATAAAGGAAAGCAAATAAAGGATATTTTGCATATTGAAAACTCTACTCCGTTCCTTAAAGTGCATAGTTTTTTAAATGTTTGAAAGTAGTAGTAGTAGTAGTAGTAGTAGTAGTAGTCTTCTTCAACAGCTTTGCAAGAATCTTTCGAAAACGTTTTCAAATATATTTTTTTATTTTTTTTGTTAATCGAAAAGAAAAAGTAATTTGCTTTTATAGATAATATCATTTCTTCTGAATCCAAAATGCAACAACAAAAACACAGCAATGTTAGATAATACCATCAATTCAATATTCAAGTGTGAAAAACGAATTTATAAATTTTTCCAATAAGATATCTTTTGACATACGGTTCGTTTAATTTAAGAAACAAAATCATACATGAAATAGTAATATAGAAGTGGAGGCAAATGAATTAATCAACCGAAGAATGATAAGAAAGTAAAAATCAGATGCAACAGATGCCGAATGGAAATGAAAAACATAAAAAGGCGTAAAAAGAAAATTGATTTGAATCCACCACGATTAATAGCGCACTTATTTATACGGTACGGAAATTAAAGATGATTTAGTTAGTAATCCATTCGAAAGCGTCGTATTGGTTGTTTGCGAAAATTTTGATCAGCGACTTCAACCGAAAATAATGCTAATGAAATGGGAAATACCAGTGATTGAATTCGAACAGTTTTCCATTTAATATTATTGATTTATTTAGCGTATGCCGAAGCTAGTCTAGGAGCGCTTCAAATTCTTCTTCTTTCAAATTCGTCACTTTTGTTGTTTTTTTGAAGAAATCTACTCTTGAAGCGCATCAAGCACGTTGAGAGGCTTAGGGTGATGGGCTGCTCCATCATATCCCAATTGCTGGTTTTAGGTTTAACGGTCACTTGTTGCAAGAATTGTCCAGGATACACTGTTGCAGCTTGAATGGGAATGGCGCCTCCTAATCACTACTTTTTCAGATCGGTGCAGCATGGTTTGGCTGGCATGCGGCGCTGCAAACTTGAACGAATGCGAAAATGGGTCGGTGGGTGAATAACTGCCAAACCAATGATAACGCCGTGTTACCAAAAACATTGTAAAATGTTGTAGAAAATCATGGACCGATTTAGAGTGATTTTGTTTTTTTTTTTTTCAGTCCTTATTCACCTACAAAACTTTAACTTGCTTATTAATTAATGTATTTATTTGATATTTGCTTATTAATTAATGTATTTATTTGATAAGGCAAGTAACCGAAAGTGATGCCCGTTTCAATTTGTTGTTGTAATGCGGTATCCAAATGAGAAAATTAAAAGAAAACCAAACGAGACATTTGCTTATTTATTTTATGTTGTTTTTTTTTTTTTTTTGCCTGTTTATATATATATATATATTATGATATAAATATTATTTGAATCGTTTGTCGAAGATAATTGCGAAATTTTACGATCTAAGAATGCCCTGTTTACAATGCAATGCAATATCGTTTGAGTGTGAAAAATGTATTATCGTTCGTTCTCTATTTTTAAAATGTACAATGTGCACAAGTTTATTGCATTGTAGTACACCCTGCGTTCAGTTATTGTCAAATAGAAAAATGTCAGCGGCCGGATTGTTAGTTTGTTCATTTGTACCAATTTTATCGATATTTGTGTTAAATATCAATGGACAAGGGAATCCAAATCCCGGCACAGTTGGCATTCATCGTAGATTTGAGTATAAATATTCATTTAAGCCTCCATATTTGGCACAAAAGGATGGAACAGTACCTTTCTGGGAGTACGGTGGCAGTAAGTATACAAGAAACCAGAAACTAAACATTCGGACGATTCAGACACGTCAGAGTATTTTTTGTTTCGTTTATTAATCACTTGAATGCGCAAGAGTAAGCGAGATGCGTATTAAAAATAGCTGACAGAGTGGCAAATTAGTAATAGGTCAAATGCTGTCCATGCCAACGTTTGAATTGAAATTGGTCCTTTCTAAAATTTATCAATCAGGCGTTAATCTCAATTATATTGTTTCAGATGCAATCGCCAGTTCGGATAGTGTGCGAGTTGCACCATCTTTACGTTCCCAAAAAGGTGCAATTTGGACCAAGAGTTCGACAAATTTTGATTGGTGGGAGATAGAAATAGTGTTTCGAATAAACGGACGAGGTCGAATTGGTGCTGATGGTTTGGCCTTCTGGTACACTACTGAGAAAGGTGACTATAATGGCCCCGTATTTGGTTCTTCAGATCGTTGGAATGGTTTGGCAATTTTTTTTGATTCTTTCGATAACGACAACAAGCACAACAATCCTTACATAATGGCTGTTTTAAATGATGGTACGAAACAATTCGATCATCAAAACGATGGGACTACGCAATTGCTTTCTGGTTGTTTGAGGGATTTTCGTAATAAACCTTACCCTACACGTGCTCGCATTGAGTATTATAACAACGTGTTAACCGTACTCTTTCATAACGGTATGACAAATAACAACGAAGATTATGAGATGTGTTTGCGGGCTGATGGCGTTCAATTACCTAAAAATGGATATTTTGGCTTATCTGCTGCGACGGGTGGTCTTGCCGACGATCACGATGTGTTTCATTTCTTAACGACTTCACTGCATCCTCCTAGCCAAGTGCCCAGTGATGTTAAAGTTCCCGACCATGATGAAAAATTATCGCAGGAATACAAAGAGTATCAAGAGAAATTGGAAAAACAAAAACAGGAATATAAGCGCGACCATCCTGATCAGGTCTTTTTTTTGTTTTTATCAAATTTAACGTAACTCCTCCAGTCAAAATAACCCTTCGTATTTTTACAGGCCAAAGATGAAGAGGATTGGGAAGAGTTTTATGAATCGGAAAATCAACGCGAATGGAGGCAAATTTGGCAGGGACAAAGTCAAATTTTTGATCAGATACGTGAACTTTCCCGAAAAATTGATGAGGTCATTGGTAGACAAGAGAATACTTTGTCGCTGGTGTCTCGCAGTATGGCTGGTGCCGGAGCTGTTGGAACAGTGCCCGGCCAAACTGGACCCCAGCCGTCTCCTTCCGTGGGTGTAGGCGGCACGATATCGCGCCCGGAAGTTGATATACTCATATCGAATCAGAATACCCTTCTGACAACAGTCCGAGAGTTGAGGTCACTAGTAGGCGATATTCATGCAAGAGCAGATACCATTTTACAAAATCAACAACGAGCTCCCAGTGGTCAAGTGCAAGCGACCGGCTATGACATACAGTCGGCCATACATGAAATGCGCGATGGCATGAATCAAGTCAAACAAGGCCTGTCGCATATGTCTCAGAAGTAAATTTACAATTTCATCTGTCTATCAAAAAATCAAATTTCAATCTATCAACCATTGTAACTCTTTTTTTACAGATTGCCTACGCCTCAGGGGCAGATTGCTTGCCCCACAAGCAATTGTGTCGGTGTAACTTTGTTTCTGAGCGTTACCGTTGTGCAGCTGTTATTAATTTTTCTTTATACAGTTTTCAAGTAAGTATAAAATCATAAAAATTTAAAGTACATTGAAGTCACTTTTCTCTTTTCTCGTTTTCTTAGGAGTCGAAGTGATGCCCAAGCTAAAAAGTTTTATTAGATTATAAATAGTTTTCATATGAGCATCTTTCCAGGGATTTACGAGTTCTCTTTAATCTAATCATGCTTTTTCATGTTGTTTCCAGAGTAGCGTTTGTACTGAATTATTTAACAAAAAAAAAAAAAACAAAAAAAAAAAAGAGAAAAAAAAGGGGAAAAAAAGAAAAGCCAAAAAAAGAGGAAGGAATGAATCAAAGTTTCAGTTTTCCAAAAGGCGCTCGATCACCAACCTAATCAATATAAAATGAAAAACTACAAAAACAAGAAAAACGCATTTATGCCGTAGAAAGAATTGACTGAACTTTTCACTTAAATGTTTTTCTACAACTTGTGTTGCTTTGTTTTAATTTTTTAAATTTTATTTTATTTTTTTTATTTTAAATAGAATTGTTTTTAATGTAAAAAAATCAATTTGATACTGTATTGAGTTTATTCAAATTGGTTTTCCTTTCACATACAGTTGACATTCCTCAAAAACGCAATGTTTCTATCTTCAAACAATTTCACATCATTTCTTTTATATAAAAATTATGAAAATAAAACCTCAAGAAATTATCCGGTTTATTATCTTAATGGTTCCGTACAATGGTTCAAAAATTGTGTACAGAAGTGTTTAAAATTTCGATGGCCTTTTGCGACAAGGGCTTTCGATTATCAGCAAAGAACCTTTACCCTTTTACGTCAACCAGTTTAGGAGATTATAAAATATCTGCTCACAGAGTTAGACTAAATAATCGGTTTCATATATTTCAACGCTAGTCTTCTTATGACTTCGAATGTATCATCATGAAATAATATATTTGATATGCTCATCAAGTCGACAATGCAGACAAAGTCGAAAAAAGATTTTGGGAAAACTGTGTAGTTTTGAAAAAAGCTTCCAATTTTTATATATCAAGTAAGTGTAAGTGGAAAATCCGTACCAGTGGGCTGCATCAACATGAAATGCAAAAACACACTTCGTAATAGGCTTATGGGCATTGTTGTGCGAATTGAGGGAACTCTTCTTATACTAAATCTAACAAATATTGCCACATAAGAGCTTTTTGTGAATATAAACCAACTATATGAGCTGGGAAAAAAGTGGAATTGCCACGTTTTAAACATAAAATTAATGAAAGGTTATTATCTGATAATTTTAATGGAGCTTGAAAAACTCATCTTTCTATTACAAACTACTTACTACACATGCAGCTTAAAAGTCTTTGGCTAAAAAAAAACAAAAGTCGTGCTATATGATCTGCAAGCGTTCTGAAATAGCAATAAAAAAGGTTCAAGTTATGTGTATATATGTACATTGCAATAGCTTAAAGTAATTATATATGTAGGATGATCGTATTTACTTGAGGCTGAAATAACTTTATTTCTAAACTGACATTGGACAGTTTTTTTCCTTTCTCACGACAATATGAAACCAGATAAAGAAGCATTTTAGCTTGGCTAATAAACATATAGGTTCATGTAAACAGAAACCTTATATCATAAATCGTCTTTTACTGGCTGGACCCCTCTAGCTTAGAGATGATTTCTAAAAAATAGATAGAAGAAAAAATAGAAGGGTAGATTGTGGTCGTACTCCACCACATTATTGTTTAAAGTTGTGTGTTAAGGTTTTTTTTTTTTTTTGTTGATTACAGCGATATATTACGTAATAAAATAAATTGTATTTCTGGCAGAAATTTAGCTTAGAAATACTGCGACATATATGCCAGCTCGGTGCAAGGTATGTAAAAGGAAATATGCCTTCAAATTGAATATACGTAATACTTAAGAGGTTCGTATCGTCTATTTTGTATCCATCATTGGAAAACTATACGTATTCCATTCGCGATCTGCTTGACGTCATTTATAAGTTAGGAAAGTACGAAGAGAGGTATGGGTATATGTTTTTAGTTTAGACCTCAAACCTAAAAAAGAATTTGAACGTAAACGAAATTTGCCCGCAGCCAATGGTTTTGTCTGAATGTATTGAGCCATGGCTAAACATCCCCTCTCCAAAGTTTATGTATGGGGGATTCTCATTGTTTTGATTTCCTTTATTATTAAGTGTTTGCAAAAGTTTTGATCAATTTTTCACTTGAAAAAAACATTTACTGTGAAAAATGCGGTACAAAATATATTAATCCAAATGGTTTCTGTCGTTTTCTACAACATTTTACAATATTTTTTACAACATGTGGATATGATCAGTTTGGCAGTGATCCACCCACCGAGCCATTTTTGCACTTTGCGCATCCGCCATGTCTGTTGAGTACGCTACGTGTGATCAAACTTCCCATTCGAGCTGCAACAGTATCTCGTCGACAATTCCTGTAACAAGTGGCCGTGAAGTGAACCCAAAACCGACAATTGGGATATGATGGAGCGATCCATCGTCATAAGCCTCTGAACGTGTTTGGTGGGCTTCGAGAACAGCTTTCTTCATATAAACAACAAAAGTGACGAATTTGGAAGAAGAAGAATTTGAAGCGCTCCACGACTAGCTTCGACATACGCTGAATAAACCAATAATATTAAGTGAAAAACTATTATTTTATTTAGAGGAAGGTCAAAACCATCGACTTCATTGTTCCTGTAAAAGTCGCTGATCAAAATTTTTGCAAACACCCAATATATCCTATGGTATTCGTGATTAAAGTGGAAATCCAAGTCGATTTTGCCATGTATGTGTGTGTCTGTCGTTTGTTGTTTTAATTCCTTTTTCTCTAAAACGTGGATCCTTCGCAGGTGATATCGTAAAATATGTTTTAAAAATATTTTGTATTATTTGCAATTAAATTTCGGTCTTGATAAGGGCAGAAATAATGATTGAACGCAACGCGTTTAACAACATATGAAATTGCTGCTCTTGTTATTGTTGTTGTTTTCTCTTTAACTTATTCAAATTTATAATATCCCTACTCTCTGCTCTATAAGAGGCTACTTACTAATTTACAAGTTGAAATAGCTACGTAAGTTATATTCAAACCTCATGGTCACATTTTCGAGATTTATGTGCAGTTATTTTCATTAAAATGTTTACGCAAGACCTTAACAGAGCGAGAAGATGTTTATAAACGTAGCGCTAAAAACAAAGGGTGAAGTTGGAAAAGTCCAGTTAGAAATTACAGGTTTTTGCATGTCGTTGCCAATCTTTGTTGGAAGGACACTTAGCTCAAAAAGACTACTCCAAAATAAGAGCATCGATTGGATCAGCAGTATATATTTGTTTATTTCAAAGTTTTGTAGGATTGTTCCACTACTTTTTAAAAGCCTTAGCTCTGCATAAATTTGTCTCATTTCTCTTACCTTTGGTTTTATTTTTCTATAGAGTGTTTAATGAAGATTGTTATACAGCCTGTAAGGGATCAGATGCCTTTGTCTTTGTTGGTTTTACGTGGGTACACTACCTTGTCGGTTTAACTCCACGGTGCCCGATGATACACGATTTTGCGTAACTGGCATCCTCCAGAGAGTTAGAGAATCCCTATAAACTAAATGCCTAAACTGCACTGGTAAAACCAGATATGTGTATTGTGTAGGGCTCAATAAGCCCACTCTGGAGAGTTTCGAGGCCTATCGTTACCTCTAATTATACGCTTTAGGAATGATAGAAACCACAACCACAGCCACAATACCCCCAAAGGGCAGTACCCAGCAGCCAGGACTCACACATTGGTTATCTGCTCCGTTCAAACTGGGGACTGAACATAGTAGCTTTCACCGCGGTTTCGACATATATATAAATATGCAAGCTTCCCTCTGAAGGATCTATGCCAGCACCAACCTGCAGTACACCAACGCTGTCACGAGTACCTGCGAGAACTCGTGTCATAGTGAGCCAGGCTGCTGACCCCCGTGGAGCTTCAAGTTAGACTATAAAGCCTTTCGTTTTACTTTACGCGACATAGTCCCTCTGTAAGGGGTCAAATATATTTGCGGCTAAAAATAGGATCTTTGCGTTCTTATGATTGCTTGCTGGTGTCATTATGTAATGAATATTTTTCTGATGCGCTGAAATTCACATCAATTCTAAGGATATCGAAACAACTATAACGTTGAAGATTTGTGTTTAACCGATCGGAATGTGTGCGTCCGGAATTAAAGCTAACACGAATTGAAAATTCTATGTGTTGTTTTATTCACTTAATATAATTAAAAGATAATAAGTTACAAAAAGTTTTCAATAAACTTAAGTTCGAATAAACTTAAACCTAAGGAAGATTCAAAACAAGATACAAATTAAATTTAAACAAGCCCCACGAGCCTTATCCTAACAAGTTTGCAAGCTTTCAAAATGCTGTCTCTTTATTTAATTTAATTACTCGCATTATTCACTTTTTACAATCCTTACGGTGCTGCATTACCCATCTGACACTAATTTGTAGTTGCACCCAATACTGGTCCCGTAGCGCGAACCTCTCAATAGCGATCAAATAATAACTGACCTGGTTGATAAAGGTGATATGTTGGACAAAAAAGTTTGCTTCAAACTTCACCTTATCACGTAGCAATCAACCACGGCTGCCGCTTGAAAAAATAACATGCTCGATGCCTGCACCATTATTTCGAACGTGCCCCGGTAATAAGGTTCTTGTAAATTTTTGTATTCGTAAAACTCCGGGACCAGATCGGGTTTCAGGCATCGTTCTAAAAAAGTGTGCTGACACAGTTGCCAGTTCCTTTCGCAATTTGTTCAGCAAGCGCAACATGCGGACGTGTTCCTAACTTGTTGCAAAATTACCAATGTCGCTAATCCTGCAACCTATCGCCCATTTGCAGTCTCTTCCGCTATACCCAAAACCGTTGAGACGACGGTCAACTACCATCTAACTAGATATCTAGAATTCAAAAATGTAATTAGCGATAGACAATACGGCTTTCGCAAAAATCGATCCGCTGGTGATCTAATGTCCTACTTCACTGAAAGTTGGAACCGAGCTATCTCCCGATGTGGTGAAAGTAAGGTCATTGACCTAGATATATTTAAGAGGTTAGACAAAATATAGCATTTGTTCTCGATAGGGTCGCTGCCCTAGATATATCCAAGAAGCTAGATAAACTATAGCATTTGATTGCATTTATTCTCGATAGCATTTTCGTTCGATTTATATAGGATTTCTTCGACAACTGTTTCAGAAGAATTGTGATCGACCGATATATGTTGAACGAATTCTATTCAAATGTAGGTGTACCATAAGGCTTTCTTCTTGCTCCTTCTCTCTTCTTCCGTGTTCATTAACGACCTACTGTGCGTAACAGAATTCCGTAACTACTCGTTTACAGACGAAAGCAGCTTGAGTCATTTGTTTTCCTTCAGATACAGAGCAAACGTTAAATAAATCGGGATAATTATCAAAATATCTAAATGGACTCAGACAAATAGCGTAAATTTTAATGCCACCAAAACTCAAACCTATCTACGAACGTGTAAGAAAAGTAGTGAACAATCCGTCTCTTTTGGTGGTGTCAATATAGAAG